CCCACGATTTAAGATATAATTATGTTACTATATTAACGTATAGTAAGGTAAATAATATTTAATCGTGGTTAGTGTTTTAGTAGTTTATGTTCAGTATTCTGTGCTCAATCGCTCAAATTGTTGTACGTGGCAGGCCGTGTGGAGGTTTAGAACTGAACTATACCTATTTAGTATTTACTATTTTACTAATGTTTGTATTTTGTGACGCACTTAATATTTTATGTTATTTTATGGTTTGGATAAACATTAAATACAGTTAAATACTTAAATGTAACTAAATTATTATTTTTATACTTTGTTATTAAATTTCGAATAGTTCGATTTTTAGTCACTATAATGGCACATTAGTACACCATGACTGATAAACCAGACTTAAGTGGTATTATTTTTCACTAGAAAAAATAAGTTCGATAATCTGTATTACTACTTAAAGAAGATAACATAATATATTAAACATCAAGGTGAATGCATGAACAAAAAATAAAACATGTACTTAATATTTTTGTATATTTTAGTTCGTTCTAGAAAGACAGCTAGTCCATTCAATCACTCAGCGAGGCACAGACGTGAGACACCACCGTCAGATTCGACATCACATAGGTAGGTAGGTATTTTATAATTTAAATTCCGTCAATGACAAATTTTAATTCTTATATCGTTATATAGGTACATAAGTCGATTATATTATAGGCACATATTTCAATACCATATACCTGTTGCTCTGCAGTATTATACTATTATCCATCAGGGGCGTTCCGAGGCTTCCCTTGGGGGGGGGGGGGGGGTTTATCAGTTTGCAAAATTGCCGACTACATTAATATGACTAGAAAAAAATGTAGTAATTGTATACTTATGTTTTTATGTATGAGTAAAATGCTAATACAAAAAAAATGCATGTATTCAAATATTTTATTAAACTTGTAAATAGTTATCAATGATAACTTATAAATTATCATCATTATAATTTATATTAAAAACAAAAACATATATCATATATATAATAATACTATGAATGCTATATCTACAATTACTACAAAATCCGCGACGACGTTGCTATAATGAAATAAGTCTGACATTTTGCCGACTGTGTCAAGTTTTTTCACCAAATTTACAATTTGCCGACTGATAAAAACATCTTGGAGGGGTAGGCGCCCCCCCCCCCCGTTCAGAACAACACTGTTATCTATTAATGCACTGATTTGAATTCACCTACGATAAAAAAAAAAATGATAAAATACGCATATTCTATAAATTGATTTTATTTCGATTATATTTTCGATATGTCTACAAAACGTCCGACCATGGTCGACAATACATGATCTCACCTACCATGGTCGGGCGTCTAGAATACTGTATAGACCAGTGGCGTATATACAAAAATTTTCACTATGGGCCAATTTTGTCAATATATACATATTTTAGGGAGCTGGGTGGTTATAATAAAATTACGACATATACAATATAAATGAAAATTGAGCAATTTAATTTTATAATTATGTAAAATTAATTTTTTAATTCTTTTTTAAAAAATATTGACAATTTCATATATATATATACTTTTTTATGTTATCTAACTGTGAATTTAACATCAAAGTCATCAAAGCAAGTCCTGACAATAATTTCCTTGTGGATTTCTCAAAAACGATTTTAATCAACCGACTAAATTAATCATGGTGAAAAACTGTAAGCAGTGTAGAATGTAGATATACATGAAATGCTTTAATTGAACCTGCAATTTCAGTATGGGCCCTGGCCTAGGGGGCCTCCCCCCTATATACGCCACTGCTATAGACACAGATTAATATTTTAATAACAATAAAAATATACCACATCTTTAAATAATATTGTGATCATGATGTGAATAGCGACAGCAATTATTAATATTTATAATCACATAGTCATTTCTTAATCGTAGTATTTTGTTGGGCTATCTAAAGTTTCTATACTAAAATGTAGTACCTATGTATTAAGTTTTAATGATATTATAGAAATGTATTAAAATTTTTTAAATAATTTTAAAGGGGTTATGTCAGTAAAAGATATGGATACCTTACAGATTTCATCATGCGAACCTAAGCAAGTTCTGATATCCAATGAATTATGCGAGCCAACAAATTTTAGAAATAACTCTCACTCCATTAGATTACTAGAAGATTTACAATCTCTACGCAAGTATGTTAATGTTGATTTTAGATTCTTTAAAAACTAATATTAATAATACATTTTTGTTTTTAGAAATGAAGTTTTATGTGATATTAGATTTGAAACAGACGATGGATGTATGACGTTTGGTCATAAAAATGTTTTAATGGCAGCTAGTCCATATTTCCGTGCAATGTTCAGTAATTATTTTAATGAGAGCAATAATAAGATTTAGTTAAGGGCGTCGGAGCTGTGACGTTTTTAGTACACATGTTAAACGTGTCGTACAGGAAAAACACTCACGCCATTTAGAATTTTCGATATTTTTTTTATTTAAAAGAACAAAGCCCGATTTCAAAAATGATAGGAAAGAAGCTACAATATGCATTTGAATGATGAACAATATTTGATATTTTTCAAACGTATTTTTCTATCATTATTTAAAGTAAAATGAAAATTCGGAATTTCATCTGACCTGAAACAAGTTCTCACTACGAAATTAAAAGTTAGACAAATAAATGAGGCGTGAGAATTTTAATTTTTGTTGATATAATACACCATCCCACTCATAAATAGTTATCAGGATTTAGCTTAGTGGAAAAGTATTAAAAGTTATAACTAGAGTAGAGACTAAAATATAAATTTCAAATTTTATAGATTCGCGAAAAATTGCAAAATCTGTCAACAACACCGTTAATATAAAAAAATTAGATTCCACCGTTTTAGAACTATTATTAGATTATATTTATACGGGCGAAATTATGATCACAAAAGAAAATGTACAGGTATAATTTATTAAAAACTTGATTTGTTATAGACTAATATAAAATTATTTTAAATATATTATTGTTGATTTCCCAAGGTTTTGTTACCAGCTGCAAATGTATTGCAGTTAGATTATGTAAATGGTGTATGTGCTGAGTTTTTACAAAAACAACTTAATCCATCAAATTGTCTTGGTATCAGAGAGTTTGCTGACCTACATAACTGTCCTGATTTGTTGTCAATTTCTGAAGCATATATTAAACAACATTTTTTGTATGATTAACATTATTTGATTCTCTATATCAAGAGTAAGTAGGTAATTTATTATAAAATAATGATTATTATTTCTAGAGAAGTAGCTAAAGGCGAAGATTTTCTATCCTTATCTTCTGAAGATATGGTGAAGTTTATTTCCTCTAATGACCTTGCTGTTCCATTTGAAGAAAAAGTAAGCACACTAAAAATTGTAATTTTTAATATTTCTTATGGAAAATCAACTTATAAAGGTGGACAAGTGTACAGTGCAGTTAATGTCTAGACTCTTCAGGGAACACTGTACTAGATGTGTTATATTTGAAATCAATGATATAAAATCATTGTAAACGAAAAGGATTCTGTGCGACAACGGTTTAATAATATGACCAAATATATTTTATGGTATCATTAATAAAATAATTAATTTTACTATTAGACATTAGTAATACTGTATTTCTGAAGCAGTTTTAATTATATTTCCAAAAAAGTTGCATAATATGAAAAGATCATTGTGTGCATATAATATAACAATAAACCTACTTTAAATTTTTAAGTTCCAACAAATAATATTTTTAAATGAAATAACTAAAGTCAATAAAGCTTGATTACCATGGAAAATAATTTTATTGACTGTTATTGAAAATAAACAAAAAAATTATAATTTTAAATGTCGATAAATATTAAATAGGTCTAAAATAATCAAACCATTTTTAAAATGTAATCATGTATAAAATTATATAAATGAAATATTAAGTAACTATCTGTTGAAAGTTGAAACTATGTAAAATTATACAAATTATCAATTATAAAATGAAATAATTTGTTCAAATAAATTGTATCTACTTGATGATATGGAGTTTTGCTGTCAACTCCGACTGAAATTAATTGGCTATAAAATTCACCTCCGCAGACCACATTGATGAGTCAATAGGCTCAAAAAATGTTGGAAAAGCAGCACATAAACCTTCAACTGCATGTCTATATTGTGATTTATGTGTATTTAAAAACAACAAATAATATATATTATTTAATACCATAAAACTATTAATTAATATTCCTTTGCTTGCTATGAAAAGTAGGAACCCATGATCTTAAAGATCTAATTTATTTTTGGGATCCTGTGATAATTATACTCTATTGAATAGTTGAACGAACTGTTATTATATTTTAATCTAGTTTAAAATATTTGTTATTGTAGGTGTTTGAATGTGTTATCAAATGGGTAAAGCATGATTTTGATCGTAGAAATGATTTTTTGCCAAAATTAATGGAACATGTACGTTTGCCATTATTAAAGCCTGATATATTATTTAATATATCTAAAGAACCTCTTCTAAGCAATAGTTCTAAATGTATGTTATTTACATAAATATGCTATCATTATAAATTAATATATTTTATGAATTATTGTTATACATTTTTTAGGTAACAATTATATAGTCGAAGCATTTTGTTTTAATCATCAAAAGTCAGTTCAGCATTTCACCATTCCACAAACAATTAGGTGCAAACCTAGACCGTTTGGTGGTTCTCAAAAAGTATGATTTTATTTTGATTAATTTATCTTCACAATAACATTGTCATTTTAATTATATCAGGTTTTTGTAATATTCAATCAGTCTGATACATCACCTAAGTGTTATACAGAATGGTGTGATCCAACAACCAAGCTAAGAGAGAATGCACCAGGGTTAAATGAAGGTCGGAGGTTTGCTGGTCTCGGCGTTATAAGAGATCAATTTGTTTTTGCTGTAGGAGGTGTAAATGGATCAAGTTCTAAGTCTGTTAGTATGCTTGATGTATCTTTAAAATCTCCATCTTGGGTTCCGATGGCCGACATGGTAGTTGAACGAAGACGATTAGGAGTTGGTGTATTGGATGATTGTATATATGCAGTAAGTTAAATCAATATTTCACTTATTTTATATTAAGAATGAATTTTATTTGTAATTCTAGGTTGGTGGAGGAGATGACAAAAATTCATTAAATAGTGTTGAGGTTTTTGATGTCAGTAATCAAAAATGGAGATTGGTAGCTAGTATGTCCACTGGAAGATGGGATTTTGGTGTTGGTGTACTCAATAATTTATTATACGTGGTGAATGAATATATTATTTGTTTATTTTTAATTTGTAATACATTTCATTGAATTAAACTTTGTAGGTTGGGGGTGGTAGTAATGGTAAATGTTTGAGATCTGTGGAATATTATGATCCCACGCTTGACACATGGACACCAGTTGCAGATATGTCTGTACATCGTCAAGGTGTTGGTGTAGGAGTCTTGGATGATCTTATATACGCTGTTGGTGGCTATGTTGGAGGAAAGTATCTTAAAAGTGTTTAGGTTTATAGACCGAGTGATGGAGTTTGGTCGTCTGTAGCTGATATGGAAATATGCCGATTTCGTCCTGGTAATTATAACAGTTATATTTTTTACTACAACCTTTGTAATAATGGATTGAATTTACATTACATTTTTATATAGGAGTAGTGGCATTAGATGGGTTATTGTATGTTATGGGTGGAGAATCTGATGAACATATCAATGATACTGTAGAAATTTACAACCCCAAAACCAATACTTGGACCATGGAGAGATTGTCAAGAAATGGAGTACAAATTTATGGTGGAGTAGTTGTTGATAGACCACATCATTATCATTAATTAGCTTTTAGAATTACTCATTGTTAATAAAAATATGAAAATATTTTTGTAAACATTTTGATAAACGTGTATTGTTTTATATTTTTTTGTTGTTTTGAATATTTGATAAGAATGTTTTTTATAATTTATACTGACTATTTTCAAATAAAAAAAAATAAGCTTTAAAGTTAATTATAATGCAGTATATCAGTAAAAACTAAAATTATATCTATAATCTACTATTCAAATTATATCTTTTAGATTCTGTGTGGAATGATAACATTTTTTGATATTTCAATGATTTCTTTCTTTTTGGGCGTGTGAACAGGTTGAAAAGGTACTTGACATTTTTACCAAATGTTTATTTTATCATTTTATATGTATACATTTTAAAATATTTCAACTTTTATTGGGCTATATATAGATGTTTTGAATTTTTTTTAGTTAATTTTGTGTAAACGTTGTTAAAAATGTTACTGTTGAGTCAAAAATATAAATATTTAATACTAGATTTATACGTTGTTATGGCAGCAGTTTAAAATTATTTAAAATGCATATTCACAACTTTTTTTATAAGCTTTCAATTATTTTGCTGTTATAAATGTATAAACTATAAAATATTCAATTTTTATAGCTAAGGATTGAAAAAATTAAAACAAGGTTTCCCGTAAGTAGTTCATATTGCAACCAAAAAATATAAAAACCCGGTTTTTTTGTGATAGATATTTTAAGTTAAAATTTGTGACAAATATGACATTTAAATGAAGAAAAACTTTTTTATTTATTTTGTTGTAATTTAAAAATATTATTCATGAATGGGGACTTGAAATTTTAAAATATATTATTATATTAATAACTATAATCCATAATAAATATACTTCATTTATTACCCATATTGACATTTTCAAATGCATTTTTTTCTATTTAGGCTGAAACCGTCTGCCAAGAATCTTATTTTGATTACAATGGCTTTGTATCATTGAATTTAAATTTAACACAGCAACCCATTTAGACATATACTGTACAGTAGTTTGGTACCCACTTACCCATTTTTATTTTAAATGTAATTAAATTGTATTTAGGAAGTTGAAATAGTTAAAACAAGAAGATTTGATAAATTAAATTACTTTTTTACTAATGAAGTTATTAAGCTATTTTTTATTTTGTGTATTTTACAGACGTTTCTGAGGTACTTGTAGCATTCTTTATTTTAATTTTAATTGTTTAGTACTAAAATTCAATCAATATAATCTTTGAAAGATTATTAATAGGTACTTGGTGTATTATACATTGTTTTATGCAAATTATAGGAATTAATTCAACTCACTGGCTACCATAGACTGTATAGTAGGTATAATGGTACAACATATTATAGGTATAACATATTAAGATATCGTTGGCCGACACACCGTCTCTGCTCAGAATCCTTTTTTTGTGTACAATGATATTGTATCACTGAATTCAAATTCAACACCATCCGTTACAGGTGGCTTCTCTAGACACTTAATGTTTATCATTGATGAGTGATTGTGTCATCTGGTTTCCAACTAGGTCCCACTCCACTGGGAGTGAAGACCGCACATGCCTCCTCTTGCAGGAGAAAGGGTGTAGTATCATGCATATAGTGATATATACATAGATAAATAGATCATAATATGATCTCCCTACTACCCACTTGTGATAAGCATTGACGAAGACCTAGAGGTCGTTTCAATGAACAAATAATAAAAAAAAAAAAAAATTGATGAGCATTAGTCTGCATTACCCATTTGTCCGATTACCTATATAATATGTAGGTACCTACTGTTTTGATGGCATACCACAAACGTACATGAATTTAGGAAAAATATCCCACATATTGCATATTTTATGTTCTACCCAATTAGATTATAATTATTATTACATAATAAAATGACTTACAATGACAAATTAAATTAAAAAATATAATAGTATGCATAGTGAATAGTGATAGAGATTCTAGACTGTAGTACATTTTTTATAATACTGTTGTGAGCAATGATCTTACGGTAGGGTGGCCAGATATAAAATACGAAAATACGGGACAAAGATAAGAATTTTTTTATTATGAATAAACATCAATTTTTGATGAAATACTTGAATATTTAAAGTCTTAAATCTAAAAATGATAATTGTTAACTAACAAATTTAACATACTAAAATAATCTTTTTTAGATATTAAATCATAATTTTAAAAATTATAAATATTTTTTTTTACTTATAAGTATAAACTATAATAAATATAATATAGACAATATAGTGTAATATGATTTTTTAACAGGTGTTCGAAGTTGATGCTTGGGTATTTAGTATTACAGTTTTTGACTCCTTCGGCAAATATTTTTCGGACGAATGTATATGTTTTAAAAGTTTTTTATTTCCCAATAAAAAATCATGAAACCCAGAACAATCCTCAGTGAAAAAATGTTTTACGACTAACATGGCTTTAACAGTTTTAACATCAAATCTGCTTTTATCATCAGTCCACAAGTTATTCATGTCGGAGAAAATTCGTTCAACATTTGCATTAGAACCTGGAATACACATTAAAAGTTCCACAACGATTTTTAAATTCGGAAAGTCTCCATCAATATCTGCTGTTTGAAAAACATAGGTCCATTTTTCATCCAACGTGTTAAAAGATTTAATCTTTTGGTTTTTCTGTAAATTGGTTTTAACAATAGTAAACTCGTCAAATAATTCTGCCTCATTAAATGTAAGACTTGGGATTACATTTTTTATCAATTGTATTGTATTTGAAATGTTTTTCCAGGAGAAATCGCCTTCTATATTTTTTAAAGTAATCCATGAAACTCCATTGAACTTGCATAGTGTTGGATTTGTCCACTCAGTAATATAATCTGAACATGTTTCAAAAAAAATTGTCCGAAAGTTATTATATATATTTAGTGTTAAAATTGATTCATCTCTTAAATTGTTTAGTAATTCAGTTTCCTTAATCGTCATGAAATTGTTAATGTTTGCGACTTAATTTTTAGTAGCAAAGTGTCTATATGACTTTTTACTTCAACGATAGACAAATTGGCTGTTTCCACACTTTTAATTGTATTAAAAAAGAGTTCACATTGAGTTTGAAGAAATATTGTAAGCAGAAGTGACAATGGATTTTCAAAAAAAAATTTTAGCATGGCTGGACATTTTTCAATAAATAAAAAATAAGACTTCAATCCCTCAAATATTTCGATAAGTCTTGTCAACGCCGGATATAGTGATAACCAACGAGTTTTTGAATGTCCTAATACTGATTTGTATTCTATATTAACGAAATCGCAAAACTCTTTTAGTGAGTGGACTCTAACAGTATAGATATAAAAATGTTGAAATATTTTTCCCAACACCGCTTGAATGTCAATAGGCAAAGTGTCAGCAGCAGTTTGTACTAAGTTATTTAAAATATGTGCAGCACAACCAATACCAATTAAATTTGTGTTAATTGATTCTTTATATTTAATACAGATAGATGAAGATTATATTTTTAATTTTATTTACATATTTTCTATTATATGAAAATATTCATATTTTTAAAAAACGGGACAATATAGCGTCCCGGAAGCATATGTCGGGACAACGGGACAGACTTTTGAAATACGGTACTTTCCCGTATAATACGGGACGTCTGGCCACCCTAGGTATCTTACGGATTTATATTGTATTATATTTTGACAATAATGCGGGTTAAATAAACGAATAAGATATTAGGCTATTACGATTGGCTATTCTAAATTTCTTAATATCTCTTAGGGCCGTTCTTACAATGTCCGGTAAAGTGTCGGTTAGCGTTAACCGACACTTTACAGGACATTGTAAGAACGGCCCTTAGAGTAGGTACCTAATAATTATTGTTTTACATTGGATTTTCACCACATCGTTTAATATAATTATATCTACTGTAAATAAATAAAAGAACTAATGCGTGTATAGACTTGTATTTATTAACATAGGAGATGTTCCTCTCGTCGGCGTCGGGAACTAACTGACTGTCCGACTGCCGTGTGCAGTGTTGCAACCGTACAATGATAACAATTACAACATAATATAATTACATAATATAAAATAAGTGACAACATTGTAATATGTGATTTAGAACCTTACATTCGGCCCAAAAAAAAATTAACAGTAAAATAAAGTATTTGGTAAAGTAGGTAGGTATTGACGGATTGTCAATAGGTGAAGGTTACCAAGTTAGATTAGATGAAAAAGAATTGCAAATACGGGTAGTTAAAAATTGTATGTATGTGTATTTAATAAAAAATGACAAAGAGTAAAATTTAACAAACGTGATTCTAAATAACGAGGTTAGCCCGGCGTAACGTTGCGTATCGAGAGCGCGGTCGCGGTGCGTTTTGACGACGTACGTCCGAAAAAGAGTGAGCGTCATGGAGGCAGTGTTACCCGCAGAATATAAACTTAAAGGAGAGGGGCGCGGTGATACCGCGGTTACAAGACGCTGTTGTTGTGGGTCACCACACTACTCCCCCCGGGAAGTAAAAAACGGACTTGTTTTTTTGAGATGGTGCTGGCGGCGTATGAGTGGTCGGTCAGTGACGGGTTCTCGCGGAGCACGAATGCCGGCTTGAGCCTGTCGACGGAAACCCATACCTGGCGATTGTTGCACTGCAGCTTGAAGTTCTTTTCGCGTCGCTCTAAAATTGCGTGTGGTCCCTCGTAGCGTGGTTGCAGAGGTGGCTTGACTGCGTCTATTCGTAGGAATACATGGCTGACGTTGGATAGGTCCTTTGGCACGAATATTGACCGTCTCGTGTTGTGGTTTGTACCGGGCGTAGGTCGCAATTGTGCCATGGCGTCGCGTAACGTCGCGATTAATTCAGGTGGGCTCGGTGTGGGTGGTGCGGGATTGAACAGCTCGCCGGGCAACCGTAGGGTAGTGCCATATACCATCTCCGCTGGGGCTAGTCCGACGTCCGACTTGACCGTACTGCGCAAGGCGAGCAAAACCAACGGCAATTTGGTGCTCCAGTGGGTGGACTCTTGTGTGGTGAGCGCGTCCTTGAGCGTCCTGTGCAGTCGCTCGACCATGCCATTCGCCTGGGGGTGGTACGGGGAGGTGCGTATGTGCTGTATCCCGAACGTTTCTGACATTACCCGGAACAGATCGGCCTCAAATTGCCGTCCTTGATCTGTCGTAACAACGTCGGGTAAACCGAAGCGTGAAAACCACTGACTTACTAAGGTGACAGCGACGGCGTAGGCGGACATGTTTTCCAGCGGCCAAGCTTCCGGCCAACGTGTGTACCGGTCGATGCATGTAAGCAGGTACCTGTTCCCGTTTGATGAAGGAAGTGGTCCTACGAGGTCTATGTGAATGTGACCGAATCGGCGTTCCGCCGTCGAAAACGGTACAATCGGCGATACCGTATGTTTGCCCGTCTTGACGCGTTGACATTGTACACAGCACTTGACCCAACGGCTGACTTGACGATTGATGTCGGGCCAGCAATAACGTTCGTTGATCAGCCGCGACGTTGCTTTTTGACCACCATGCGCGAGGCCGTGTAACGCGTCGAAAACACTGCGGCGGTAGGCAGCCGGTACGTACGTGCGCGTAGTGCCGGTCGAAAAATCGGCATAAATCGGTCCATACGGTGTGTCTCGCGCTTGCAACCGTAACGCACATTTGTCGGGATTCGCCAGAATTCGTTGTAGCTCCGGGTCGTCCGCTTGAGCTTTCGACCATTGAGCCGGATCGGGCGGTCCGCTTTGCAATGCGGCTGTTTCGAGTCGCGACAAGGCGTCGGGTACGACGTTGTCGGTGCCTTGAATGTGTTCGACGGTGTGAATGTATTGGGACAGAAATGATATTTGACGCACCTGTCGGTCTACGTACTTCTCACTTTTGTGGGTGAACATGAACGTGAGTGGTTTGTGGTCCGTGAATAAAGTGGTTAGGCGGCCTTCAATGAGGTGGATGAAGTAGCGGGTGCTGCTATATGCCGCGAGTAACTCACGGTCGTACGTACTATACCGTGTTTCTGCGTCGGTGAGCTTCCTCGAAAAGAAACCTAGTGGTTGCCAGTCGTTACCGTTTCTTTGCTCGATCACGGCGCCGATCGATGTGCTGGACGCGTCTGTGCTGAGGCGTAGTTCTGCGTTTGGTTTAGGGTGAGCTAGGTTTGCTGTGGCAGCGAGGGCTGTGCGGCAGGTATCGAATGCGGAGCGGGTACTGTCGTCCCACTGTAACGGTCCGTCTTTTTTTTTAATTTGTGCTGCTAAGTTGTACAGTGTGGTCTGCATTTCCGCGGCGTTCGGGATAAATCTACGATAAAAATTTACCGAACCTAGGAACCGTTGTAGGCCTTTTTTGGTCGCCGGAAGTGGCCATCGGTGAATAGTGTCGACGCGGTCTGGGTTGGGTTGACAACCGTCCTTGTTAATTACATGACCTAGGAACGTTAGCGAGGTGACGGCAAAAACACACTTAGCGGGGTTTATCGACATTCCGAACTCTTGAAGCCGCTTCAACACTGTGCGGACGTGTTGCTCGTGTTCGGGTTCGTCACGTGACGCGATGAGTACGTCATCGATATACGCGAAGGCGTAATCGAGACCGCGCAGCATTTCGTTGACTACGCGTTGAAACGTCTGTGCCGCGTTTCGAAGGCCGAAGCACATCACCGGAAACTCAAATAATCCGAACGGCGTGGTAACTGCAGTCTTGGGTATGTCATGTTCAGCTATGGGTACCTGGTGGTATGCTTTCACCAGATCTAGCTTAGTAAACAGCGTTCGACCTGCCAGGTGTGCAGTAAAGTCGTGCAGATGTGGCAACGGGTACCGGTCGGCGCGGGTGACGGCGTTCAAACGTCGGTAGTCGCCACAGGGTCGGCATGCGCCATCCTTTTTTGCCACCAGCAGGAGTGGACTGGCCCAGGCGCTTGATGACGGGCGACAAATACCCTTGCTGAGCATGTAGTCGAATTCACGGCGTGCGACCTGACTGCGCTCGGGTGGTAGACGTCGCGGGCGTGCGAATAATGGCGGGCCGGTGGTTCGTAGCTCGTGAACTACGTTATGTTTAAACTTGACGGGTACCGGCGATTCGCGAGTGACGTCGGGGAAAGTCTGCAGCAACTCGGTCCACTTGTGTGTGTGCGAAACGACGAGTGCCGGTGCACTGACGTCATCTACGGAGATAGTTTGAATTACGTTCTGGTCTGACGGGTCGATGAGGCGATGATTTTTGACGTCGATGAGCAATCCAAAATAATGCAAAAAGTCAGCGCCGATGATTGGGCGGGCGACATCTGCCATCTCGAACGTCCAGGCGTAAGTTCGTTTGACACCCAAACACAAACGTAACGTCTTAGGACCGTACGTTTTTATCCGTGTACCGTTGGCGGCCGTCAGAACTATGTCGGAGGCTAGGCGTGCGCCTGCGGTGGGTGGTAGCACGGATATTTCGGCACCGGAGTCGACGAGAAACTGTTGGCCGGTACGCGTATCGCTGACGAACACGCGACGTGTCGCGCGGGCGGCGGAAGTCAGCGGTGCTCCCGCCGCTTCCACTAGTTTTCCGAGCGGAAGCTACACGGGTGGTGGCAATTTTTTGCCTCTTTCCCGAAACGGTTGTGGTAGTAACAAAACTCCTTGTTACGCTGGCGCGATTGTGAGCGGTTGCGGGACCGTGACCGCGTAGAACTCCTTTGCCGTGACTGCTGATCTTGCTTTGACTGTGACGTGACGAGGGCGGCTATTTGTGTGGTTAACGCGGTAATTGCACTTTCCATCGTTTGAAATCGATGTTCGAGTGTATTGGACGGGGAAACGGCACAGATTTCGCGTCCGGCGCTCGCGTCCATCACGCGATCGGCGCGCTCGGCTAAGGTATCCAAAGGTCCGTCGAGTCCGGATATGACTGTGAGAATGGTGGGAGGTAGTTTTTGCAACCAGAACTCTTTAAGCGCGGCGTCGCCGACGCCTTCGGGAAGGACACATCGCATGTCTCGGAGCATTTGCGACGGGCGGCGGTCGCCCATGCCCCCGTGTTGAACGATGGTGCGGAAGCGAGTCGCTTGTGGAACGGCGTAGGCCGAAATGAGACGATCCCGTACTGCCGAATACTGCGCGTTCGGGCCTAGCAGGTCCGACACCGTTCGGATTCCGTCCTCGTCTAATGCCGTGAGCACGTGGTTCAGCTTGGTCAGATCTGCTCTAATCCGGTTGCTATGGAAGACAGCTTCGGCATGTGTGAACCATTGCTGTGGTGAGTGACGCCAAAATCCGGGAAGACGAACGTGTTCGATCGCGGAAATATTTTGCGGAGCCGGTATCGGACCGGGAACGTTTAACGGCTGTTGTTGCGCGGACGCAGCGTTCGGGTCAGCGTGGTTTTCGTTCAGAAGTTCGCCGTCGGCAGCAAAAACGTCAAACAGACTCATTTCGTGAGTTGAAAAAAACACGCGTGATGGTACCGCGAGAATGGTCACTAAATTAACACGCCGGAACCTTTGATTTCGTTCGCAATGGTCTTCCGAGCGTGTTGCGTGTTCGAATTGTCGAGGTCACCAATTTGGTAAAGTAGGTAGGTATTGACGGATTGTCAATAGGTGAAGGTTACCAAGTTAGATTAGATGAAAAAGAATTGCAAATACGGGTAGTTAAAAATTGTATGTATGTGTATTTAATAAAAAATGACAAAGAGTAAAATTTAACAAACGTGATTCTAAATAACGAGGTTAGCCCGGCGTAACGTTGCGTATCGAGAGCGCGGTCGCGGTGCGTTTTGACGACGTACGTCCGAAAAAGAGTGAGCGTCATGGAGGCAGTGTTACCCGCAGAATATAAACTTAAAGGAGAGGGGCGCGGTGATACCGCGGTTACAAGACGCTGTTGTTGTGGGTCACCACAAGTATAATAAATCATGGTGTAATAATAAATTGATAACATAACTAAATGATAAAATAATACTATCTTGTATAGAATTACAACTTGTGTTTTTTTTTATAATAATTAAATACGGGCTATTAGTGGTGATAAGAATAACCGTTATCAGAAATGGCATTTGGTTCCAAACAAACATATTTTAACACTGGATTTAATAGGAACAAAACAATTTTGTTTTTAATTAATTTTATTCTTATGATTTTTTTGCTTCTTATGGTTAAATATTGCGCCAAATTGTATTAAGATACCACCTTTTATCACTTGAAACCATAATATTATCTGAATTTGTTTACGGTTTACTTTTAAAAAACGTTAACAGAAACTCGTCTATTGCTAGTATTTGTAAAATTGTTGCTTTTTCTTTCCTTAAATGTATTTTACCTTTAATAATGGCTGGAAATCATGTATTATCCATTAGTTCTCTGTGTAGTTTTTTTAAAGACAATATGAAACAGTTTAGAAGAGGTGAAATAGCATATAAAGATGGCCATGTATTAAAATTCCAGGCAGATTTAGAGCAAAATATTGTTGTAGGTGACGTCAAACCGAGTATGAAGAGTGATCCTTACAAGGTTAGGATTTTATTAAATGACGGTAGTATATCTGATACCCATTGTTCTTGCCCACGCGGAGTTGCAATTTGTCACCATATTGCAGCTTTGGCATTGTATATCCATTATAACCTTAGTTCAACTGACAAAGCTTGCTCGTGGAGTGCTAGACCAGTTAATGTGTCTAGTAATGTAAAAAATATTAACGATATGTATGGCACATATAATATTCAAAATACAAGTATTGCTGAGGTGGATTTTGAAAACTTCAAAAATACCATCAACAATTTATCTGTTCCTGTAGGATTTACATGGTTGTTAAAGCCAGAACCAGAAATAAAAGAGGCCAAATTTGTACTTCCAACTATAAAGAGCTTTGTCCAAGATTGTAAACAATTGGTAAAAAAAAATGATTATGAGGCAATAAAATTGTATTTACAAAGTAAACTGTATATACCCAATAATATAGTAGAGCAAATTGCTAAGGAAACCATTGGGCAGAGTGAAAACCCATTATGGTTTGAATATAGAAAAAACCGAATAACTGCAAGCAAATTTGGTGTAGTTCTAGCAGCTTGTAAAAGGGGTAAATTTTCAAAATCCCTGTTTAAATCACTAGAAAATAATGCTAATATAAAAGGTATACATGCTGTACAATGGGGTATTACAAATGAAATCGAAGGTATTAAAGTTTTAGAAGAAAATAAAAATGTTAAAGTTGTTTCTACAGGTTTATGGCTGAGTAATAACGGTTTTCTGGGAGCTTCACCCGACGGAATCGTAAATTCTGATTATATTGTTGAGGTGAAATGCCCTTGGAAATATAGAAATAAAAATCTTGAAACTGAAATAGAAAAAGACCATAATTACATTGTATATAAAGAAAATAATATAATTTTAATTAACAAAAATCATATATATTGGGACCAAATCCAAGGGCAATTATATTTGACCAAGCGTAAATGTTGTTACTTGGTAGTATGGACACCTGGTCAGTCAATTATAATAGATATTGAAAAAGATGTGGAATGGGAAGTAAACTTGGACATTTTAGAGAGATTTTTTATCACCAAATACATACCATCTCTCATCCAGATGTAGAATTTTACTTTTAAACCATGTTTTTATTTAATTTGTTATAAGCATCGTTATTAATAACCTTACCTTATTATTAAGTTTTATTTATTTGAATAGTTTTTTACCAAAGAAATGGTCAAAGATAGGCCAAAGGAACCTTTTATTTTAATTTGTATTTTATTATTAAATTCTATACTTTGTTATTCTAATATTTGATTTAATTTCTGTTATTATGAACATTATTTTTTACAAAAATAAGATTACATTAATTCATATTATGTAGAGCTTAAATTAATTATAGGTACATAATATTATCAAGTTCCTGAAAAGATTTGAAAGTTCCTTTTACTTCAGTACAGTATCAATTATTTAGTTTTAATTACATTAGGACAATAGTATAAAATATGTAAATCTTTTCAAAGGTTAATTTTAATAGTATATAAAAAATAGATTGTAGAACTTTATAAATTATAAATTTTCATTTATTTTATAATTTAATACATAGGTACTATTTGTTTTTTTTTAAATATTTACATCTTATCTTTAATTTCCTGTAAAAGAGGTGGCTGTAAATTTGTTAAAGCTGCGATTACTTGAAATATAGAATTAGCTTGTTTTAATAACGAGGAAGGAATAAAGTTTAATATATCATAGCATTTTATGCGTTGTATTGCCCTTTCAATGTGTATACGGGCTTTAGCAATCGATTCTGTTTGAATAATTTGTTCTTGTGTAAATTGTGGAGTATCTAAGAATGGGGGTATATTTAATAATACACCTGGAGGCAAGATATCTTGAATTAAAAATCCTTTATCTGCCATCACTAGATCACCGGGTACTAGCTGTTCAAGTATGCCACTCCTTAGAGTTATCACTTTGTCTGATGTCGACCCAGGAAATAGATCACTCACAAAAGTAACAACTCCATTTGGAGCAATTCCAACAAGTACTTTCCAAGTATTACGGGGTTTATAGCTACTATAAGTATCCCTTTGAGCATTCATGGACAAACGTGATACACTTGTAAAAACCTCAGTACAGTCAATGACCACACGACAATTTGAAAAATTTTTGAATGCATTAGGAAGGCAAGTTTTATTTTTATGTCTGGATGGTATTTTATTCATACATTTACTAAAAAGTATGTTGTGTAAAATATTTATCCAAGTTATTGTAATATTACTTATAGTAGCTACACTACATCCAAACCTCACAGATAAGTCTACATGAGGAAAATTATGTCTCAGCTTCATTAATGTTATGAGTAATTGGTCAGGTTTACTTATGCTGTTTACTTTCCAATTCAAATAATAATGGATTTCACAATTTTTTAGTAAATTAAATAGGGCCAAAAATATTTCATTAGAAGGTAATCCTGTGTAAAACATAACAAGTTCTTCTTTTTGACACAAGTTTTCATATGCAAATGCAACACTTAAGCTGTTAATTTTTAGTTGTAATATTTTGTTTTTTTCTTTAAGAGAATAGTTTTCAAGCTCCATATTTGATGGTTTAAAACTGTAATAAAATACATGGTTTTTAATATCTAAATAACCAAACATTAATAATATAATATAATATACCTATCAATTTCTTGAGGGCGGAGAGACAAATCAATTGGCCCTTCTTGAAATATTTCAACCTCTGGCAGTGGGTTGTCATCAGATGTGAATTCATTTACAATTACTGGCTTCTTAACAATTTGTTTTTTTTTTTTTTCTCAGGAGACAAATGGTGCTCAAGAAACTGTTTTTGTCTATGGGATAAAAGTGTAGGAAAGTTTGATTTCATACCATCTTGAAAATGACAACTGCAGACCCGAGACGTTATACTTGGATAATCTGTTCTCCTAAATTAAAATAGATACACGTTTTAAAAAATTAAGTACTTAATGCAGGTATATAAACCTTTACACACTATATTTAAATCTATAACGACAGAAAATATAAAATAAATACTAGGTACCTTAGAAGCTTTATCCATTTTTGTTTCTGGTTCGACTTTGTAGGAAATCTAAAGAACTTACAATTGTATCTGTTGCTGTTATGAGAACAGCCAACTGCCCAACAACAAACCATCACAATACTGTAAATTATTATTATACAAAGAAAAACCGAGAATTTATGAAAAAACTATAGTTTTAGATTGAAAATATAATTTTTCATATAGAATCCTATGTTAAAATATGTTTGTTTGGAACCAAACGCCATTTCTGATAACGGTTATTCTTATCACACTAATAGCCCGTATTAATGAAATAATAAATTACTGGCTTTAGTTAACAGCCTTAATAGGAACACATGTAATAATAAGCACTTCAACTAAATACTTAATAGTGGTACAAAATAGTAACTGATAATAAAAGGTAAGTATAAAAGTATTTAATGTTTTATAATAATTTTTGTATAATACCTATCGGCCCAAAAAAAATTAATACATAATAACATTAACCTATTATATAATCTTTTAACCAAGATGGTGTCTTGCGAGTACGTTTAGTAATGCTGTTTACCTTAGTGTCTATGGTTGGGGTAGGAGAATTTATTTGGATGTTGTCTGTGAGAGAAGTTGGAGGTGATTGTTGATTGTTCTCCTCAAATTGAATCTCTCCTGGATCATCCAAATTTGGTCTGTATTGAGCTGGTTTAAGTGATTGTACATGAACTATTCTGGAATGTTTTTTGTTTGTTGCATCGGCCCTGGTAATTTTATAACAAACTTTTCCAACTGGGTGTTCAATGACAAATGGTCCTTTAAAATTTGGTGAAAGTTTTGTGTCATTTGTAGACTGCCAGTTATACCATACTCGTTGACCTGGCTGGAAGTTGTGGTGGCTTCTATGTTGATCGAATCGTTTTTTGTTTATT